TGTGCTGGAAGTGCTGGGAGGGAGGGGAGGAGCAGGGAGGGGCATGCTCAGGGGAGGGGGTGGGAAGCGGTGGGGAGGTAGCGGAGCAGAGGTAGGACAGGGATGAGGCCTTGGGGTAAGGGGTGGAGTGGGGACCGGGCTGGGGGCAGAGCAGGGGCAGGAAGGGGCGGGACAGGGCCTTGGAGTGGAATGGAGTTGGGACCTGGGGCAGAGCGGGGGCTTGGGAGAAGATGTGGAGTTGGGGCGGGTCTGGGGCAGAAGGGGGATTGAGCACTCCCCAGGGTAAAGAGGAAATTGGCGTCTATGCATATACATGTCCAAATCATTGTAATTTATTTATGTAGGGTTTTTTTTGCAAACTCGATAATAAAAATAACGTACAGTTGTCTTTATTCTTTACTGGACTAAACAGAACAGAAACACAAATAAGGTGCTTTGCACATTCTTCTCTTTTTTCTTGTTGTTTCTTTTGCTTTTTTGGTTGCTTTTTTTTTTAAGTCTTGCTAGATATTAAGTCTGTGAAAAGTGATATTAACAAACATACAAATATCACTTTTCACAGCAGACTTACTCAGCCGCCCGGCAAGCCCTGGATGGGGTGGTGGGTTTGGAGGCAGAGGGGGCCAGGACGGAGGGGCACTGGGGGAGGCAGAGGGGGCCAGGGTGATGGGGGGGGTGAACTCAGGGCTAGAGCCCACCACTATTGGCCAGGGAATGAAGCTCAAAGCCCCATGGCTGGAGCCTGCCACCGCCACCCTAGGGCTGAAGCCTGACCCCACTGCCCCTGGGAAGGTGGGGAACTCACTAGGTGCCTGCTCCTCCAGCTTGTGTGTCTCCAGAGGGGAGCAGGGCCCAACCACTGCTGGCAGTCAGGGCCAGCTGTAGGCGGATTCCCCCGAATTGGGCCCCGCACTTAATAGGGCCCCGCGCCCTAAAGAAGAGCGCCTAATTTTGGCGACTTTTTAATTTTTACTCACTCGGCGGCGCTCCGGGTCTTCGGTGGCACTTCGGTGGTGGGTCCTTCACTCCCTTCAGGTCTTCGGCAGCATTTCGGTGGCGGGTCCTTCAGTGCCGCGGAGGACCCAGTGCGCCGCCGGGTGAGTCATCCCTGCTGGGACCCCATAGAAACTGTTTGAATCGGGGCCCGCACTTCCTAAAGCCAGCCCTCGCAGTACTACTAAACAATGAGACAGTATTGATCTGCATGTTTCACAGTGGTTTCTGCACACCTTCACCCACAGCCTTATCTGGTTTTTAAGAAGACATTCTTGTTTCAAAATTGGACCCTCTGTTGTCTAGAACTAGTATTTAAACTGCAGCACTCCAAAAATAAATAGCTATAGTACTGCATCAACATGGAACTGTGGAGCTACACAGCAGGCAACTGTGAAACTTAAAACTAGAAGGATATTTTCTACTATATTTACATGAAAGCTAAATATGAATTACTTGTAACTTCATTGTTTCAAATATGTTTTTCAAAAGGTTACTGAGGACTATCCCTCACAGAGAACTAGCCATTTTTAAGTGAAAATAAAAACCCAGACACCAGTTCTGAAACATAGATGTGCATGTAATGAAAAAAATTTACATGTGAATAAAGAACAGGAGTACTTGTGGCACCTTAGAGACTAACAAATTTATTAGAGCATAAGCTTTCGTGGACTACAGCCCACTTCTTCGGATGCATATAGAATGGAACATATATTGAGGAGATATATATACACACATACAGAGAGCATAAACATAAATAGACAACTCCCACCTGTTTATGCTCTCTGTATGTGTGTATATATATCTCCTCAATATATGTTCCATTCTATATGCATCCGAAGAAGTGGGCTGTAGTCCACGAAAGCTTATGCTCTAATAAATTTGTTAGTCTCTAAGGTGCCACAA